TAATATAATATAATATAATATAATATAATATAATATAATATAATATATCCGCCACTGAATAAAAACAAAAAGTGACTTTTTAATCACACAATTCAGATTTATTTCTCACAATTGTAGGTACAGTATATCTGTAACAGTTCTGACTTTTTCTCTCAGAACTGCGAGTTTATATCTTGCAATTCTAAATTGTAATAAAAAAAGTCAGAATTGTGAGATATAAACTTAGACTTGTCAGAAAAAAGTGTGAATTGTGAGATAAGTTGCAATTAACCGTTATATTTATTTATTTAATTAATTTTTAATCCGGTGATGGAAACAAGCTTCAATATAAATATGACCTGGACATGTTTCACCAGATTCACAAAGAAAATCTGGGTGTGAGAAACTCAACCTCAGATGAAAACAACATGACCTGCAATAAAATGCACAAAGTTAGTAAAGGCCCTGAGAAATAGTACCATGTTTTGGAGTTTTGTAATATAGTCCTGTGTGTTTACACTGCCAGGGCAGATGGTATTTCCTCTATAGGGACATTTCCTGTTGACAGTGGCAGATAACAGGGAAGCCCTAGAGAGACACGCTCACCCTGACAGTCATGGCCGGAACCAAGCGAACAACAAACACAGTGGACAAACATCACTGTGGCACCAAAAGCCTTCACCAGTGACATATGATATAAACAACACAATACAAACATCTCATCCCAGCTGTGTCCTGATGGAGCCAGTGAAACCTCCTGCTCTAATCAACAGAATTATGGAATAAGATGCTGATTAATACCGTATATCATCACATCAACGCACTGGATAACACATCATTGGGAAGATGCAAAGCAGAAGGATAACAGTGGATCTTTCACAAGAACCAGTAATGAGGAAGTCTCTGACTCACCAACACAAAGCTAGATTTTTGAAGGTGGTTGCTAAGGCGCTGCTATGACGATATTCTGGGTGGTTGCTAGGTGGCTGCATTATTCAAAAGAGCACACCCTAAAGTTTCTATGATATTTTGGGTTCTAGATGCAGAGTTTCTCCATGTCAAGGAATGGTCACATTAGTGATACTTTGGTGAAATTTCGCAGGCAAAGTAGGTTCATTGTCAATAGCCGGGTTTCCATCCAAAGTTGCGAATTGAACTTATGCACAAAATTGAAATTTGCGAATAAGCATCGTTTCCATCCAACGAGTCAAAGAGAACAAAATCGTCACTTCCTGGTAGAACTGGCGCTAGGCTATATATCACTATGAAAAGTAGGAGAAATAATAATGATTATTCTATATATTAATATATATAATAATGATATAATAATTTTCATAGGCTTATATAATAAATGACTTGCGCCTCATAGTGAAAACTAAATAAATGCGGTCATTGCTTTTGGAGGTGGATGCTCTGGGGGGAGCTGCCCATGAGGGTGTGACTGCGGGGTCAGAATCGGCATTTAAGAGAAAACACATCTTAAGGATGATTCATTCATTAATATTGCACAGAAATTTAAGCTGAGTTCCAAAACCCTACATCTACATTGGCAGCTACCTTCTAAGGCTGCATCCTAACCATTCTGTAACCTGTAGATGACTGATTGGAAACTTTCTACATGGGAAGCAATAAGTGAAGTACAAGGGAGACTCAACTGACAATTGACTAAAATAAGTTGTGTCCCAAATAACACACTATACACTTATTCTATGCACTATGCACTCCACCATCTAGCGTATTAATTATATAAGATTATTTTGTCATCCATCATCAGAGTATGATAGACCCCCAGATCGTGTTGTTAGCTTAGCAACATGCTAACATCAAACTCTACAGGTGTCTCTCAATTTGTGTACTTATGCACTATTCTATGCCATCTTTTTGTATATAATGTAGTATAATAGTGTGAGTGTGTATATTGTGTAATAGTGTGTGAACACTATTTTCAAGGTAAATAAAAGCTTAAAAAAAATCGAGCATTACTGATGTATTTTATTGTTGTAGAATAAAAAGTGAAAACATCCTGAGCTTGTGTTGTTAACCACAGACCTTATTTCAGGCAATAAACCAAAAACCCATTCTTGAAAAAATGCTAACTTGTTTTCAGTACTAATTCTAATAGCTTGACTTCAGCCTGTTGCTAAGCTAACAACACTATTGCTGCGACCCAGTTTGCAAAATACTCATCCTAAATAGTATTCATAATTAGAATTAGTGTGTCCCAAATCATTCTATGTTGAAATTAGCATGACAAAGGTACCCAAGATAGTCTACTATTTCTCTTGGAAATTCGAAGTGCAGATCCATGCACACTCTAATGACTAATACTGCCCACAACCCACTGCACTTTGGATGAGGATTTGGTTCAGAACTAAAAACAAACAAAAAATACTCAAAACTACAAACATGGCAGATGCACAGCCTTGACATTTCAAAATGACCATAACATTTCAGATGCTGAGGAACGAGATTGGTCCACTGGTTAGGTTTTGCCCTCCCATATCGCAGTCACATGACTTTTTTGATGCGCATGGAGGAGTTTACTTGGCAAATGCGTTTCCATCTCCTTTTATTCGCATTAACCCTTTATCACACAAGTCAAAAACCACCTCAAGCGAGCGTAAAAACATTTTTGCGAATTAAGGGATTTTTATTAGAAATTTGCCATTTCCATCACTCGTTTCTGATGCGATACTTCAAAATGCGCATAAAACAGGGTGATGGAAACATAGCTTATGACAAGAAAAACAAACTGTTTCCTTCTGGTTACTCTTAACAGGCTACACGGCATTCAATGGTGTGGACTTTGAAGGGACGTTTCATGTGAATACTGAGATTTAATGGGATAGTTCACCCAAAAATGAAAATTCTGTCATTAATTACACACCCTCATGTCGTTCTAAACATGTAATACCTTCGTTCATCGTTGGAACACAAATTAAGATATTTTTGATGAAATCCAAAAACTTTCTGACCCTGCATAGACAGCAACAGAACTGACACATTCAAAGCCCAGAAAGGTAGTAAGGACATCGTTAAATAGTCCATGTGACATCAGTGGTTCAACCGTAATGTTGTGAAGCTACAAGAATACTTTTTTGCACAAAGAAAACAAAAATAACGACTTTATTCAACAATTGATGTCACATGAACTATTTTAACAATGTCCTTAATACGTCTCTGGGCCTTGAACATGGTAGTTGCGTTGCTGTCTATGCAGGGTCAGAAAGCTCTTGGATTTCA